CACCAAAGTCTCTGTTGTTCAATCTCACTTGCGACTAGTGGGCCGTCTTGCCGAACCCCTGCTTTCGTCCTGCAGTTCCGGATAAATCGCCGAATCCATGCACAAATTCGCAGAATCTTGTGAACTTCGTAAGCATCAAGTAGTCGGTCGAAGTCATCACGGACGTGAGTTGTCATTGCGAAGATGCTTCGAGTCACCTTTAACTCAGCGTTAGATTCCTCGTTGGGCTCTAAGATCTTGTCCGATGGCCAACTAGTTTCTTCGCTCAACCAACTCGGGCCATGGTTCCATAGTTGATTATGTTCGACACTTCCGCCACGGCTACCCAGATCCGCGGGGTTCTCACTGGTCGGCACGTAATGCCACTTGACCTCCTGATGCTCCTGTATTTTGCGCACCCTGTTCGCAACGAACTGCCGGTACTCCCCGTGCCCGTGAATCCAGAAGAGTGCCACAGTCGAGTCAAGCCAACAGTGTACTGACACTGGGAATAGATTGATAGCTAACCGGACGTTAGTCACCAGATTGATCGCCATGTGACCGGCCACTAACTCAAGCCGGGGAATGGTTAAATTTCGCTTTGCTAACCGAGACTTTGAGCAGACGAGTCCTTGCGATGTCCCATTCTCCTGTCGGACGACCGCGTAGACAACAGCGCTAACCCCTTTTATGCTAGCATCTCCAAATGCGTGCAATACGATTTCTAAGATTGGTTGATGATGTGGTGCCAGAGTTCGCTCAACTTCAACGTATCTAGGAAGTTTGGAAACCCAGTCGATCCATTGTTTTCTCAGCTCTGCTGGGAGTTCACCGTCCCAGGCTATGTTGCTTTCACACATCTCACGGTAAATAAATTTCCCTTGCAGGGTCGTTGGCGAGGCCAGACCGAGGGGGTCATAGATCTTTGCTAGTTGAGAAAGAGCGCCTCGTTTTGTGGTGATAGTTTCATCTTTGTGCAGCCCAACCTTCAGGGTGTCTTTATCCTTGTCCCAAGGTAGTCCTAAAAGCTTTGTGCCCGGTCGGCTCGTCCCTAACTGCTGCTTAGCATAGGTCAATTCATCGTCTGCTGCTGAACTACCGCTGGCTTCAAGTTCTCTGGCATTTGAGTGCCATTTATGAAGCGTAAAAGAGGCGTCTTGGAAAACTTCGATGGACGTGTCTTTCTTTTCTTGCACAATGTCAATTGATGCACCGCCAACCATTAGGTCGTCCACGTACAGCCCTTCGCGAATCTCTTTAACGATTTCAGGGTACTGGCGTTCCCACAGTTCTAAATGTTGGTCGAGGACTCCCGCGAGAAGAAAAGGCGATGAAGTTAGCCCAAACAAGGCTCTTGTGAAACGGTATACTTGGGTTTCGGTACAGCCAGGTGGTGTCCAATGGAACCTCAATGAATCTCTCTCTTCCTCCTTTATTCTAATCTGCAAAAACGCTTTCTGGAGGTCCCCTGTCAACAGGATCGGGTGGAAACGTGATCTTATCAGGATGTTCCATAGCATGTTTTGAAGTGATGGTCCTGGATTCAAGCAGTCGTTTAAGGAGGGATGCTTCACATCTTCTCGTGCAGATGCATCATAGACCACCCGCAACTTTGTACTTTCTGCCTCTTTCTTGGACACTCCTTTATGTGGGATGTAGTATTCTTTGCCTTTGGGTACTGTGGGTGCTCTTTCAATCACTCCGCTTTCGAGCTGTTCTTGAAGGATGCTGTGGTACTCGTCATAATTCCCCTCTCGCTCAAGCCGTTTGACAAGTTGCCGTAACCTTCTCTGACTGCCTACTTCATTTGTTGGTAGTTCCGGATGGTTGGCCTTCCAAGGCAACGCTGTTTCATACCAACCAGCCTCGTTTCGTTGTAGTTGCTCCTTGAATTCCTGATATACAGTTCCTTGGTCATTCTCTGGCTTGTCAGCAAGTCCTAGCACATCCAAAGAGCACAGCTGCTCATAGTCTGTACTGACTGATCGGGTTAGCAGAAGGGGACTGGTCACATCTTCCCTACCAGGCGACATTAGCACCCAACCCAAGCGAGTACGTTCAGCAATGGGTTGCCCAGGTTTCCCAACTCGCGGTGCAGTTGTTGTCTTGATGCTGGCATACTCATTAACTCCGAGAACTACATGTATTGGAAGGTGTGGTTTGTCATCAGGATCATCTATTCTTACTCCCTTCAAATGGCTGTACTTGCTTAACAACTCTTCATACCGAGGATTATCAATTTCCATCAGTTGTGGCTTATGGACCTTGGATAGTTCGACTTCCATTGTGAATTGACAATCAGCTCCTTTGATAGTTGCAGGGTAGATTTCAACTCTGGTTGTTGTTGATCCCAGCATCATTTCAATCCGTTTTGTTTGGATCTCCCTCGGTTTCTTGTTCAAAGCATCTATAAGTTTGGCTGAGGCATAGCAACTCCCTGAGCCGGTGTCAAGTAGAGCTCTTGTTTTTATACCATCAACTTCAATGACCACCACTGGATAAATAACTTGGTTGTCTTCTGCTCTATGGGCTGACATGAACCCCTCAGGTTTCTTTGGATTTTCACAGATTGAGGTGTGATGTCGTCTACCACAGTCGTGACAGGTCACAGTACTTTTGCATTCCGCTGCTCGGTGGGAGGCTCCAGTACAGTTGAAACACAGTTTTTTACTTGCTAGTATTTTTCTGCGCTCCTCTGATGTTTTAACTGTTGGGCAGCTTGTTGATTTATGATCAGTAGCATTGCAATATACACACACACGTTGTGCCCCAGTCCCTTGGCGAGTGTGGTAAGTCCGACCCATTCTGTCTCGTCTTCGATCCTTGTCTTCGGAGTTGGAGTTCTCAGTGATCGGGTTTCTTCTTGCCCACAGTCGAAGGGCCTCTGTAAGTTGTACAAAATCCCAATTTTCCCAGTCTTGGTCTGTGCGAACGAGATCTCCTCTGATAGCTGGTAATTTATCTAAAGTCATTGCCACTGCTCCATCTACTTGAGAAAGTTTATTCATGGTCTGGAGTGATTGCACATTGTATGTTAGTTTCTCACAGAACTCATGAATCTTCCTTGCATTGGCTGTGTGAACTGGGGGAAGCTCTAATATTTCCTTCACATAAGCTTTAACAATCTCCCGTTCCTTCCCGTACTTCTCTTTAAGGATGGCTACCGCTCTATCATAACCCTCTGCTGAGTATGGCAGCGCTTCTACAGTTTTTCTCACTTTGTCTTCTAACAGTTCCCTCAAGTATGAGAATTTAGTAATCGCTGGCAAACTGGATTTGTCAATTGACTCCGTAAATTGACCCCAGAATCTGTTCCAATCAGTAAATGACCCGTTAAATTTAGTGATGACTAATTTAGGTAGTTTCGCTTGAACATTTGTTGCTTCGCTATGAGATTGGGGAGAACTGTCTTGATTTCTCTCAGGTTTTGACTTGAACATAGCTTTGGTCTCTTGCAACTTGACCTCGAATTGGATCTGCTCTTCTCTCTCGTGTGTTTTACGCTCTGTCTTTCGATTATTTAGCCAATCTTTCAAGGTTTCTACGCTTTGATCACCCTTTGCAATATGCGTATCAATATTCTCATTCCACGCATCTAATTCTTCGTCCCCAGTTTTCCCTGATATTTTGTACGCTTCGATTTCAATACGCAATTGATCTATTTCATTTATCACAGTTCTCAGTGTATTTTTGCCTTTCTATCGCTTCCACATGCCCCTTTTCCACAATAGACGCTGTTCTATTCGCTGTTAAGTTTAATTGAGCGAGTTTTGTCTTTAATTTCTCTTCAGCGACCTCCATAGTCGACAAATTTCGCCCCGAAGGCGAATGTTTATGTTCGAGTTCGAATTAGACGAACGATAAATAGTCCCAAAATTCGCTGTTTAAGTGTACTCACCAAGCTCTAAAATCCCGTCGGAAGGTGCCAAGTGTTGGGGATTATCGCCTCCAAGTAAAAGTATCCACAACAATCACAAAAGAATGAATAAAAATGATTATATTTGTCTCGATGTCACAGATTGTAATTTCACAGATGTTTCACAAATCACTATATTTTTCTAGCTTGCTCCGCATGGTCGTGAAGTCATCTGACGTCACCTGATAAAGCCCCTGGGAGCTAATTCCGGACACAAAAGCTGAAAAAGCGACCCTAAGCTAATATTGCGTAAGAAATCGATTACGATTTTTGCCATGCTTTTGAACCGCGTAACAATATTTCAAACATGCGCTAACCAAGTGCTGAGCAACGATTCTCGCTAATTCTCTGCTATATCTCTGATTGTTTCGCACATCCTGGCCAAAAGATTATACATACTAGGATAATGACCGAAGGAAAAATGTACAATTGACACAGTTTGAGATGACTGCAGGGTACAAAAAAACTAAAAGAACACAGAATCCCCAGAAGTAATGATTGCTCAGTATGTAAGTGAGTAATTTGAGATAACGAAAGGTTCAAAACATTAAAGACTAATATTACAAGTGCTGTTTATATAACACTTTCAAGCACATTTATTTAGTGGAACTGTACCAAAAAGCCTCGGTCTGATATTTCACAGTACTGACCTCACACTCGGTCAATAATAATTAATAATGCCTTGGCCTTGCGGTATGGCCGTACGAAATCTTGAAAAGCATCAACCTTCGGAGTTTTGTCTTTTTATATACGCTTCATTATTTTTTGGATTGAAATTGCATCCAAGAAAACAATTATTGAACTCTCTCGTACCCAGACTTTGGCGCGCTAGGCAGTTCGAACCCAAAAGAGCGCGAAAAAGAATGAGCAAAATGGCTCACTCTATAGATTTGCTTGTTACAAGAAAACGACCTATCACTTATGCGTTACTAGTTAGTGCAAATAAATGCAAGTTGATTGTTTTTTATTAGTTGTGTGAAATTTTTGAAGTTGAAAGTAGTTATTGTTGTACTGATATACTTGGAGCATTATGAACTTCGTTTAATTGTTTTATACGTACATTTCTGATATCTGAAAATAAATAATAAAACAAATTTTCGACTGATTGCGCATGATATCAATAATGTTGTGTTTTAGCTGTCCTTATATACTTCGAAGTAGGGGTAATTAGAACTGTTCAAAACATTCAGTGATCATCTCGTTAATTGAGTCTCAAAATGCATAATATAGTGTAAGTAAAAGAATATATCTTGACAACAATTAATTAATGAAACGTGAGTACAAAACAAAAATCCCCAAACGTAGTTAGTACTACTAGATTTGAAGAGGGTTTCTCGTTGAAGTAAAAAATTCTATGCTATTGCAACGTTAATAGCTGACATCGTCCCATACATTTCTGATGCTTCAGTCTGATTCTGTAGTATATTCACTTTTTATTGTATTAGCAACAGGATCATTCGACTTTCATTTACATGTAGATGTGCGCACACACTAAAGAAACAGCAATGAGTTTATGTCAGAGGATGGGTAACTCTTCGTGTTAAATCTCGTTGTCTGTTTAATGAGGTTTGGTCATTTACTCCACCTAATTAAGCTTTTCAGCTAATTAAGCTTTTCAACCCAGCATTAGGCTCCTAAAATAACTTACGTACCTTTTAACTAAGTAGTTGAGTTTTCTATAAATTGTCCTAGGTATAATAGCTAAGCCAAACAACCAAAACAATGGGCACAAAAGTTTTGGCAGTGTCTTGATCTGTTTAAAAAAATGGTTATTAGCACTCGTCGTTTGAAGTCAGTCGTTTGAAACAACTGAAGTTGCTGTTTTGAAATAACTCGTAACAAATGTGGCAAAGCAACCTAAGGAAGTGAAGGAACTTCCGCAGAAGACTTAAAAGCACTAAATGCCTAATTACGCAGTGCAAGTTTTTATGCAAGTTGCAATAGAATTATTTCGATAAGGCACTGTTGTGTTTATTACACTTCAAAAACGTTTCTTACACTTATATCTTAAAGAATCTTTACTAACTATATCTCATAATTAAAGTAGTAAAATGCACTTTGATACAGCTGGATATTAAAAGTTAACACAACATTAGAGATCGAGAACTCAGGTAGCCCAACTATACGTATGCTGCCCCGCGCACTGAGGCCTTATTAGAATTATAGGGACAAGAACATAAAAAAGTTTTGAATGAAAACAATGGTTTGCTCGACCAATTCAGGTTAAAGTGTTTGGAACTCCAAACCTGGCTGCGAGAATATAAATAATTTAACTAAAAAAACCCAGCCTTTATTGTTTATTACGTGATATTACAATTATTAGAACATACATAGGTTGGAGACTAGATGGAAGTACAATACAACTCATTATATCTATGTTATTGTCCAGGTTTATGCAAAAAATGGTTCCTTATCCGTCACATGTCCATTGTATTTTTGCCCAACTGACCAATAGCAATGGCTTGGCTTAGCTCCTTAACCGTGACTTGAACAACATATTAATTCAGACCTTACTATTGGTTTATTTTGTTGAAAATAGAATAGACACGTGACGAATAAGGAACAATTTTTTGCATAAATGTTCCCCAACATATAGTTAATGAGTTCTATTGTACTTTTATGTAGTCTTTAAACCATTTATATTCTATTAACTGCGCTATAAGCTAGTATACTTTCGTCGCAAGTCAACAAAGCTCCCTAATAAAGCATGCGCAGAAGACCACGTGTTTACATTTTACTCAATTTGGTTAATCTATTCATATACTAATATATAGCTATGTGCTCACTTTTACTTAACGGAAATTACCTTTTCGAGTTCCGGCTGCATGAGGATTATTATTTTGTGTGGTTGATATTGATGGATATGTTTGATCTAAATAAATAGTATATCATTATGCATAACAAATGTCGCCTTGCCAGCTAGGGAAAGAAGGGGGGAGGGGGAATGATGATGTAATGCCACCAAAACGCCCTAAAGAAGTGAAGGGGAAAATATTATTTTTCAGGCAATAAATTTAACTAATTCGCTAATCAAAGTAAAGTATATTGATAGCATACATATTTGGTACAATAATTAAACTATTTACAATGATTTGGTAATCTGGAGAAATCACAAAAATATTCAAGTAATATATTACTTTAGATTAAAAGGTTCATACTTTTATGGCTTGACGTTTGACAGCCTTGTCCGCTATCTATACTTCCACCAAGATCTGATCCACGTGTTTTGCAGTCCGGACACGCGTAACCATTGTTGCAATGACAGTTTCCGTTGTTGTTGCATACCTATTGGGTGAGGAATGAAGGTGAAAATAAGAATACCGATTATCAAAAAGTGTCTCTTGGTAAATAGAAGGAATATTTGCTCTTTATGAGAGCAAAATGGCACAGAGGTTGGAAGAAATATCATTCTACTACCTTTTTTTTATTTATTTAAAACTTTTCTTATTTGGATAATTTTAAACTTTTTCATTGCTTTTGCAAGATTGCATACCAGCAGGAAAGCACTTTAATTAACAGAAGCATTTAACAAAGAAGGCATTTAACTGAGTTTCCTCATATAAGTACTTTGTAATTTAAATGAAACGTAATTAGTCATGGATATTCCCCGAGCCGGTGCGAAGCACCGTGCGAGGGTACTAATTCCGCCCGGAGATTAGGAATTACACCCGGAACCCGGGAGAACATAGCGGAATCCAAAGTCGCCCAAATGTCATGGACGTTCAATGGTCATGGTACTTGTGCGCACGCGCAAAATTTGAACGAGTGACGACTGGTAATTAGCAACTTGCTGATTGGCTAAGACGAAACGTTCGTGTTTCAGTGAAAAACGTCAGCAATTTAACTGTCATTTTGCAAACTTTTTTTTTGAAAAAATATTTCGAAAACACAATATGAAATGTGGAATCAAATAACAGATAAAACACTGGGAAGAGTTTAAATATTATCAGAACTGGAAGAATTAGCGGTGAAAAGGAACAACTGGTTTATAATCCTTGAAATGGTAAGAGTCTATTTTGTTTATTTCGAGGTTTCTTTCGTGTTTGCTGTACGAATACATTTTATGAGCTTGGTACAGTGTGTCGTTTTGCTCGGTTTGCGAAGACGTGACCGACTATTTAAGGCTTTACATCATCGTTTTAACTCAAAAAGAGTTCTTAAAAGTGTATTTTGGAGTTTTAATATAGCAAATATCACTCTAAAGGTTTATAGAGTCGACTGCAATCACTGCATGAATTTAACAATCGAAAAACAGCATTCGACGTTCACTGCTTGGTTATTTATATTATTTGTGCTGTTTTGATGTTTTGAAGGTTTAGATATAATGGAGTATTAACTCTCACTTAAACTGTGAAAGTCTATAACTTTAATAATGCAACGGAAAGCAGCAGGAAAACGGGTGATTTCACTTCACCTTTACGACTGTATTTGTTTCCGAAAAATTTGAAACATCAGCTATCGGCTTTACATTTAGGACATTTCATAATATTGAAGGTTAGGTCTGGCTAGCTCAGGAAATATTTTGCTTCGTTTGAAATGGCGAGGGGTTGCTGCATGCATGTATTTCTAGTCATCAATATGAAACGTAATTTGTCATGGATATTCTTAAACATGTATTACCAAGCAACTTGGAATTGGAGTTTAATTATTTAAATTTTACTCTTGGATTTCATGTGGCGTCATAATTCCAGTGTGGATTGAGTGAGTTAATTGTTCACTGTATGTGTTGACTTTGTTCTTCGTAGCAAATTTACGCAATTTCGTATCATTTGCTCATTCCTGTTCAGCATAAGGCTCGAAGCAATTAAGGTTGACCCCCACTCAAATCACTATGAAAACAATACGTGAAACTCACGTCCAATACATTCAGCATACTAGGATACAATAGGTCACAAAGTCTCCTAGGTAAACTGTCATAATTTAAACTTTCTCTTAGGCAACGAGGTAGACTTGAATGTTCAAAATGATTAAAAGGGCTCCCCCTCCCTTCAAACAGACTAAATAATAACTGCAATAAACTCACTAAAGATTGTTTACTTCCGTCATGTGCATAATAGACAGTTTAGATCAATCACTTGTTTTCAGTTAATTTTAAGTGAATGCATGATGAATGAATACTCAAATATGCAAGCGTACAATACATACCCCGTTTCCTGAACAATTATTGGTACAATTTTTTTGCGGAGAAATTTGAATCGCCTCTTCAACAGAAACGCATCTGCTTTTCATACACATCTACAAAAAGTCAAAGTTGTTGATACTTAAAGGTGCTGTGAATTAAGTAACTTTGCTTTCGGAAACAACATCATCGGAATTCGCGAAATCAGTAAGGTTTGTGTTCCTGATTTACTTTTGTTGAATCCATCCATACTTGCTAAGAGTTACTGACACCCATGTCAAATTCAGTTGAATTTGTGCTGGGGACCCAATGAGATACAAAAGTGTGGAAAAAATGTCATTTTTATTAAATGTAATGCGCATGCACCGTGCATGCATCACTTTTGAATTTCTATATTTTCTATATACGCTGTATGTATTGATAAGTTCAGTACTGGTACTGTTAATGGTATTGATGGTTTTGATAATAGCCTTCAAAACGTACATCACAGTGAAAGCTTAATCGGACAAGATCGTGTGGACAGATTTTATAATGTCTCTTTTTCATGCAAAGAAGAAAAAAAATGCCATATTTTATGTGTACTATACTTTTCCTTCACCACATTTAGTTCCATCATCAACGTATGTTGGATCAAGCCCGTCTCCCCACGTTAAAAGTGGAGTACTAAAAGTGACAAGAAATAAATCTCAGCTGGTCAATAAAAAGTGACATGAATTTTATATACGATCAATGGACACTTGTATGCATACACCAGAAGAATATTTACACGAGAATTTAAAGAACATTGATATAAAGAACCTTGAGAATTTAAACATTGCCAGAAATGAGCGACATCTGTGCCCCTAAGCAACAACACTTAATGTCAGCGGATTCAAATTCACACATGCGTAATCGACACCAATCGGGAAATTGAATATTTTAATTTGACCTTTCGCTTGACCTTTCGCTTTAAGGTCATGCCAGTGAAGTAAAATTTGCTGAGGAATCTCGAAGACAAAATTAGGCTTTTTAGGTATTATATTATTTTGGTCGTTTACTTCGCTAGGCCTTTCAGAGAAAGTTAAATTTAAGTTAAACTTTACATTTTCAACCATAATACATCGTGTATAAATAGCTTATTTCAGATCAGTGACTTTTTCCCGCAAAATTTCAAATTTCCTGCAAATTCGCGTAATAACATCAAGCAAAGCTTGAGTTCCAGCGGTATTTGGCGAAAGAAGACATGCGCGAAAGAACTTAGAAGCATGTTATCTAAGATGAGAATGAAACGAGCTTCAAAACAATAGTTTTGGGGAAGAAATTGACCAAAATATCACCAAGTTATTGCCATTTCAAGCGAAACGAAATCCCTTATTAGACATGGATGCTTAAAACTACCTTTAAAAGAAGCTGGCAGGGACAAGGGAAAGTAAGGTTTTTATTTTATAATTTTTATATCTTCGAAGTTGCAAGGACATTATCTTGCCATTACAAGCTTCGCATGTAGTGTTTTCGCATGGGATTTTGCGGCTTTTTATGCCTTTTGATAACTAATTCACTACGATCTCGCGAGCATTTTGAATTTCTTAGGGACAAGGTTTGTCGGCAACTAGAGAGCAAAATTTTAGTCTCATTTTATTCATTAACATTAGTTTGACCGAATTCGATCTTTGCATCTCAAAAATAGTACTTTATGGCAATATTTGTAATACAATTTACTATAAATATTGGGAACTCGCTCATGATGCGTAATCAACGAGTCGTTCATTTCTGGCTAAGAGAACCTTAATATTTACACGAGAATTTTAAAGAACCTAAATAACACAAAATATGATATGAAATTTGACCGCAGTTTTTGTTGAATGTGGATATGTAGTCCATTCCACCCAAAGCTTCGTACGGATTGTGCGTGAAGATTTTATTTTCACACGCCTAGTGCCTTGTTTTTCAAAAATTTGACTTAACAGAAACCAATGTCGAATAATGTTTTTAGGAAACTTGAAGCCATCGGAAGTCGATATCGGAAATCGACTGGAATCAACTTTTGTGAATTGATATTTCGCTACTTCGTTCTTATCGCAATTTCCTTTCTTAAATTTACCTTGCAGAATCCTTCATGTAATAGCGTAATGAAACTTACATGCAATAAGTTTTCGAATCGAAAGAAATCCAAAAAGCACCTCGGTCTTGGCCTTTTTTTGGTAGGTGGTTTCTTCTGTTTGATAAGCAATGAATTTTACCACATCTCACATCACTATAAATGTTATAAAACAAGTAATATTAGCCTTTTGTTTGTCATCTTTCCCTTCAAGGGAACTAATTTTTTTAATTTTCAAAGACAAGCAGTACAGAACTTGATGGAGCAAGAATCAATAATAGTTATTGATTTTTTATATATAGTATATAGACAGAAAAGTCTAGAGATTACAGTATAAAAGATTGTGATTGGTTTATCTAGTATAAGAGACTGTGATTGGTTTATCTAGTATAAGAGATTGTGATTGCTTCATCTAGAATATCCCGTCGTTTCTGCACTTCTCCCTTTTTATTTTTCCTTCCAGTTTATCTATATTCTAATTTTAAACTTACCCTTTAGGGCAAGCGAAATATTTATGTGTTTCATTGTGGCAATGATGGAATCGCGTTCCTGCAGAATTTCGCCAGAAACACGCTTCTTTACCAGCTGTTGTACCTGAGAAAATACAAATAAATCTTGCCTTCAGTTCCAAGAGGGTTTTGCTAACAATTTGTTATAAAAGGAAGTGGAAATACGTACCATTCCCGAAGATATTTTGACACTGTAGTTCAATATTACGACAAACGCCTCCATAACAGTAGCCCTAAAACAACGAAAAAAATTTAAACGAACAATCGTATAACTGTGCACTATGATAATCTTACTTATAGGCCTAATTAGCACCTTTTATAATCACTCTATAACATTGTGCATTTCCACTCACATTATGCTCACTGCAATTTACACCGTTCTGCACATGATAATCCTGGGGACACTATACACATAAAAAAAATTAATCCCCCTTTGCTTGACGTTTACCAAGATCACATAATTATATGCTTACCATCCCAGTATCTCCTGTGCAATATTCTGGAAGATCACAATCATCATGTGTTTCACGACATAACTTTCCTCTTGAGCTAAACTGCAATAAATTTTATTATTAAAACATTACACGTCGTGGTATTTACTCGCATTCTTTGTAGATGAACAAAAATGATACTGCGAGCTGTTAAAGAGCTTTCATTCAGCCCAAAATGCGAAATACTACGCCTCCAGGCAAGACTGCCTAATCGGAATAGGGCTTGGACATCCTTGCAATTCTCATTTCGGAAAAGGAGATAGACAAGAGTTAAGATATAGCAAAACCAGAATATTTCACAGACACCAAAGTCAAAAGCACTGTTGATCGTGATGTTTCTTATTTTTTTATCAAGAGTAGTAAAGTTCGGCACAAACAATAACACTTAATCAAGTCCCTAAAGTTGGCTTCTGGTTTCCTAAACTTTCCCTATGTGAAGGAGTCTACTGTGTTGTCGGATTCCGGATCCCAGCTCGTGTACTTCGGATCCCAGCACCAGAATTCCGGATTCCGCATCCCAGCTCGTGGATTCCGGATTTTAGCACCAGGATTCCGGATCCCAGCTCGTTGGTTCGGGCCAATATACATGGTTTTCGGATTCAAATTCCGGATTCCATTTTAGAAATTGAGAATGGATTCCCTTTACAGATACAGCCGGATTCCAGAAAAATGTGGATCCCGGATCCTAGCGCGTGGATTCCGGATTCCGTACTCGTGGATTCTGGATCCTAAAGCTTAATTATTGCTGGATTCCCGGATTCTTTTCCGCAGAGTGAGTCAAAGAATTACCTTGCAATCCTTCTCACAACATTCTCCATGACTGCACAAAGCTCCAGGGAGAAGCATGCATGATGACGCATTACAACATTTGTTTTTAAAATAATCGCACTCCTAAATAGATGTTAATAAACGAAAGGATCATCAAGCAATTATTAATACAATCTCATATAAAATACGTAACGCGTAATTTTTTGACCCTGGAAGATTCTCTCATTATTTATGATTGCGTAGCCAGCTCACAGACTGAATTTTAATTTTCAGGAAGTTTGACAAGGGGATATCAGATGTTTCGATACAGACGATGAAAGCCCTAAAAATTTCATGGCCGAGGAAAAATGCGTTGCACCTCTTCTGTTCCACAATCACATTCTTCACCTTCCTCGACAAAGCCATTGCCACAAATCGCGTCACCGAAAAGCTAAAATAAAAAGAAGACAGTCAAAGCTCTTTCGATGGTCGCCGACGGTCTAGCAATCATAGTAACCAGATTCCCAAAGATACATTTCGAGAAACAATGAGGCTTTTCAATACATTATTATGACCATATTATAGCTATTTTTTCATACATTTTTTTATATAATCCTATTTTCTAAAAAGAATCTAATTTTTCTCTGTGATTTTTCGGATACACAATCATCTTGCAGTCAATATTCCACTTTTAAACTACTTCACGCGTGCACTGTTACCTGAGAGACGCACTTTTTATTATCCGGCTGCTTCTTTTAAATGTTCTGAGCTCAGAGTGCCTCATGGTAAAATAAGTCACAAAACTATAATTTTCGAATAATTACATAAAGTGCTGAAGCTTAATTGAAGTGTTACTTATTTTCATTAAGTTTTTCGTCATTTTTCTTCTTCGTGAGGCTTTCTCCGATAAAACAAAAAGAAGAAAGAAAATATCTAATACCTTCTTCGGCTCATTAAACAAACATGTTCCATATCCTTTCTCCAAAGTATCTTCCAGTTGAAGTAAACTGCATGATGAAAATCTCGTAGCAGCCTTACTGTGAAAGACAGAAGTCATTTGATGTGAGTGAATGGCATGAATGATAACAATTTAGCCAGCAACACGGAGGTGTAAATTTTAGGTTTTCATGAAAACTACCAATTATTTTTATAAAATTGAAATAAACGACCAACTGATGATCTAGACTCATTAAACAATGTATGACATTTGGGCATGACAGTTGACAGTTTAATTTTTGTGAATTATATTGTTTATATAAACACAAGGCCGTTGCTTGAAGCGTTTTGCTTGGATCTCCCGGAAAAGGAATTTTTTTTGCAGTAATATGAACGTGAACAAAAAATTTTTATGAATATAAACATTTTAATTAGGTGTCTATGGTTTGCCTTGCCCAAAGTAGGAAAAGCTATCTTTTTGCAGCCTCACATGTTTGGACTGTAAATGTCTAAGAATTTGAGAGATTGAGGTCAACATAATTATATGGTGATAGTATATTCCTATATTTATCGGGTCACGCAGCAAACCGTATAAACACTGCATCAACTAAAAACATTATGAAAGGTATTTCCACAGCCATGGGAAAATACAAACGTTGAAAATGAACTCATAATACATTCACCATCAGAATCAGGACATTCGCAATCTGAAAATAAAATTACAGTTGAATCCGAAACCGACAGGAATATAACCGACACAAAATATGGATAACGATATTTAAATTTACAACTCAAGCGCCATGACCTTCAACACGTCCTTCTTGTAGCCCTATTTAGTATTTTATAACCCGGTTTACTGTTTTCACTTGCGAACGAGTAATTAGTTACGAATGCTCTGATGAATTCTTATTTGAATATCCGTAACTAATTCACTCCTTCACATCTATCAAAAGAAGAAAATCGCAGCAAAAATCGCAAGTGTAAACGTGCCTTATATAAGTTGCGTTAATCCCCACGAGCAAAATTTGCGAGCGATCCATTCAAATTTTAACAATGGGTGATTTCAATAGTTTTGGCTTTTTTTGGCACACCCTGTGGTGAAGACAGTGTTCCCGGGGAAACAGGTAGACCGTAGATTTCTACCTCCTCCAAGTGGAAAATAATGTCAATAAAATCTCGACCAAACTGTCGTATTTGTTACACTCCCTGAACAAAGATTCTTGCTATTATTTCTCACCCCATTGAATTTTGTCGGTTTGGACAAAAAGCAACTGGATGTTACGAAATGATTTGTTAGCGAGAGTTAGGGGCTGTTTACATGAGCCCGGTTACCCGAGATTCAACGAAGCGTGAGAGGATTTTGAGGTATTGAAATGAGCAGATAACATTGATCCTGGCAGTCGTATGTCACCAAAACAAGCACATGCTATTGTTGTGGTGATTATACGACTGCCAGGATCAATGTTATCTGCTCATTTCAATATCTCAAAGTCCTCTCACGCTTCGTTGAATCTCGGGTAACCGGGCTCATGTAAACAGCCCCTTAGAATGATTTACTGACAAAGCTGATTAGCAAAAATTTGCGACATGCTGATTTGTAGGTATGCTAATTTGCATTAAACTTTTTTACGTTTTATACTCAATGCCACAGGGTGTATAAAAAACTGCCACCCTAATAAGCAGGTGTTATTAATACACCCTGTATTCGAAGGCCATTATAAAATGCAAATTTTGAGCACAAAGCACAGCTATTTTGTTGCTAATTTCTGGTAATTAATAGACACTTGAAGAAAAAACAATGAAAAGTAAGAGATTATTAATATCTTAAACTTTTATTTTGCATATTTTTGGCAGTTAGTTAACTGCATTAATTTTGATGAGAGGTTTTCTTTCTTCAGCGTAGAGAAACTTTTCAAAATAAAAAAGGAGTGCAAAAGAAGAAAAACGTACCAGTACTATCGTGAACCATACCAAGATTATGCCCCAGCACATGTGCCATAGTGCTGGCTGTTAAAGCAGCATGTGCACTGTGGTCCTTCGTAAAAGAAAAGTAAGAGTCAGATATTTATTCCTGAGTAAGCGCAAAACACCACGGTACGAACGTATACTAATCTGAAAGATCTTTTACACCCGGGTATTTTGATAAATGAAGCAAACACGTCCAAAATCTATGTCATGTACGTTCGATGGTTTTGTTCATATGCGAATGCCTGAAATCTGTAAAAACGTTTGACGTTGTTTGTTGACGTTTAATCCTTGAAGATTTTGTACTGAAACTATATCGATGTTTTGAAGGTTGAATTTTAAACCGTTACTTATTAAGCTGTAAGAGTTCATAATTTGCCTGCATGATTAATGCAGCAGAAAAACGTTTGGTAGGTTTACTTTACTTTTATGATTATGTTTGTTTCCAAATAATAGAAATAATAACTTTTTGAATTCTTTGATTCATTTCCTATTATAAAGCCTTGAAAGAAATTATTTGGCTGGTTTTACATGGCGAATGTTTGCTGCATGCATGAATTTTTGTTGTAGGCCTAATTATTATTATTTTCAGGGTATTTTTTCAAGTAATACACTTCAGTATTTATAAGCTAGCAAAAAACTGTTATCATTATGAGATCTGCACTTAATTTTTCACCTGTTACTTACCTGTAAATACGCTACTTTAGTGTATAAAAAAACTTAAATTTTTGCTCACTTGCACAACTGCGGCAGATTTTGATCCACAAATAGAGTTTATTGCAGCAAAACCAAACGAAGGACCAAGGAAATCCACACCGCTGTCAGAAAGATACATTATGCACATATCATGTTTACCAGTTATATGAAAGACTATAGTTAACTTCTAACTGTTTAACTGTTCGTCATCAGTTGCTAATAAAAGTTAAACCTCTTGTAGAATCCTGTTTTGAAACTAATTTAAATTATGTGATTAACAATAAACAGAGGTGAAGAAAAATTAATTGCAATTAGTCAATCCATATTGCACAAAATTTGCGGTTACTTGTATCACGCGATGTTCCGAATTGTACTCGCCATCGCGTAAAACGTCCTGTAAAAACGTTATTAAACGGGGGATTCTAGGAAATAACAACGTACTGGTTTTTCTGGCTATATTGCAGAATTGCCGCTACAATTGGAAATAAAAATGCAGAATAAACATAGCTACCTGATAAGTTGGACGTTGTCGAAATGTTTTCCTTTGAATTTGTCAACATTCTTTCTCGTGTACGACAAAAAATTATTAAACGTTTTCGACACATTTTTGTCAACTGTAATGCGATCTTGGTCCCTCCATGTCTCCACTCGCACCAGGGCCACCCTGATATTCCTGCGACGGTATATCTATGAAAGCAGAGATTACGTAAGAATAGTTTTCTCGTTATATTTATAACATTCCAGGAAATGTTTCACATTAACGACAATTTTTATGATTGTTTATTACATAATTTCCTTGCTACACAAGAATAATTTTATATTACTTGTATACGAAGAAGATTAAGAAGTTGCCTATACATAAAATGGCCAACGCACCCCTCACCCTTAAGGATTTCAAAACTTTTCTTAGAGAGGCAGAATTTTTAGCTAGGAACCGTTCGGTTGGAACTTCCCTAATGTTATTTCATACTCACTGCCGATTTTAGCGTGCTATATACAATTTTTAACTGCACGCTCTCCGAAACTCAGAGTCAGTCAAAATCAATTTCACTTACAGAATCGAGGTGATTGGCCAGTGATTTAGCTCTTAGTCCGGTGTTTTCTCCGTACCTTCTGTGCTAATAAACATGCATGAACATTATGTTAGTCAGTAAAACACTAGGAACATGCTGCAGATTTTCACCTTACAAGTGCACGAAATAAGGAATGCATGTGCATTATTATACGGTGATATGTACAGTATTAACGAGTATATGCAGGTTTTAAAAGCTGAAACGTCAAAGACATATTTTCTTTAGGTTATTCTTCAAACAAATTTTAATAGATGATTGGAAACGACAACTTTCGTCTCGTATAATTTTGCTAAGGTTTTCAGAATTCTCAATATTTCATTCCAACCGATCTAATTAAGACAACGCTGCGAATACAATGCCTTTGTTATTATACACCATCTCATACCCAAGATTATGAGTAGCTACAATAGTGCCATAATGATTTTAACAGTACCTGTTCCTTATCATTGATGATGAACAATTCCACATATTTTGTCTCAGATAGGACATTTCTTCGAAACTAAACGGAGTAAATGGAGATCAATTACCTGGACGATAAATTAACGTGAAGCCAAACAAGGAGCTAAGCGAAGATTATATTCACAGCGGAACCACTAAATACGTAATCTGTGATACAAAATTCAGTCAGAAACCAGAACCTCGGCTTAAACAGAATTTTCATTTTCCTCTTTTCTTATAATTTTCGTTTTTTATACATGATAACCCGGTTTTATATGTTGTGGCTAAGGATAAGTGAAAGGCTTAATGAGGGTTGTCTGCATGAAGGGATAGACAAAGAACTGTTTCTATCACGGAAAGTGATCGAGATCGAGGAATTGAAACTTTGAAGTTTGAAAGAATTTGGGTCGGAAAGAGTGCAGTCAAACTGCATGAATTGTTGCCGCGTTCACCTCAGTTGTGTTACTGGCGGGTAACGATAACTACTGTATGCCTACCCTTTTCTTCCAATTGGTTGATATTTTCATATTAAATTCTTCTTTCGGTTGTGTCATGCGAGAAGTGTGGCCTATAATTATAAGAAGACTATACATTTTGGAACTTCGAAGATAAATTTAACCGGACTTGCTTAAGAAGATGACAGGGAAGGTAGTTTGCTAAGGCAGGCCTTAAATATGGAATGCGTTTTATAAGTTCTTAAGGTTTCAGACAATTAGGTGCATGCGTATAAATAAGCGATCTTTGCAGATTTGAATATTTTATCATGCAATAATTGCACAAATGCATCCTACATTTTTAAACAGCAGTGCTATATTATTCAGTTATGGCTAGTATGTTTTGTGCATATCAGTAACACACCGCAAGTCCTTGGTTTCTCATCAACATCCTCAGCATTGAACATCGCATGTTCGTCTGATATCTACAGTGAGGAATTACTTCACATGTGTTGCAGCAAAAAATACAGTTCACATTAAATGAAATGCATGGATCAAATATTAAATTTAGAAATGAAATATTTACAGGCTAAAAGTATAAAAAGTTTCAATTTTAAAGAATATTCAAGCAATAAGAAAACGAAAATTAAATTCATAGAAAACGTCAAAGTAAACCATGAATGAACCATGGCTTTAATGCGTATTCTTGTGGTTCATGAGACTGTAAGACAATTGTAAGAGTTTCAAATTTGAAAAAATTAAGAAAAAGAATATTTCTCTCAAAAAATAATGATATCCAAAAAAGGACAAAGTCGCAAGCAAAAGAAATATCTTTTTGCCTCAGATCACTTTTAAAGCCATCTTCATAGAAGTTGACTTCCTCAAAAACCTTTGTAATTTTTAGTGTTTATTTAACTTTTTTATAAGAGACATTTTAAAACACTTGCATCTGAGAACGTACTTGTCCATCATGAGACTTTAACGGTTGGATAAAAAATGTACCATCATCTGTTCTGATAACTCCTCTATATGGTACCAATTATGAGAAATTATGATACGAATATAATAAGAAACTTAACAGGAACAAAGACTTAGTGCCAACCCTGGTAATATGACTCACTCTATTCCATTATTACAAATGCTCAAAGAAACTGCCGAGTTTTCTTCTCCATTTACCGTTCCTTGGTAAAAACAATTCACTTGAGGAGTCTGAAAGAGTTTATCAAATATTTAACACTATTATATAATTATGACAATTTAATTTTTGGTTTTAGCTAAGAGAAAAATCGGAATTTTTTATGGCCATGCAAAATGGCGACCGCGTACTGAAAATTTCATCGTTTCTCCGCATCTTTTCTCGTCTTGTAAGGCTTAAATTAATACAGTACATATAAACAGAAAATTTTCACTCTGTTCGGCAGGGGCAGATCCTGGTTTTGAGACTGACGTAAAAGGTTCCAAATCAAATTGTTTAATTGCACTATACTCCAGTCATATAGTTTATGCAGGGACACGTTACCATGATAATATGCGCGAGCAGTACTATAGTAATCTGTCTATATATCTAAATTATGGTGTTTATGGTGAGAGGAATTTCGCAAGGTCCCAAGTACCATTTAATTTTCACATCGCTGAAAGTAATGGTTATACCTTTTGTTCAAATGCAGATTCATCTTTGGAAAAATGAAATTCTTGAAAGTTCCGAGCGAACAAATCCCTGCAATTATTAACGAAATTGCTCAAATTTTTGAAGTATTTTCTTTCAAATATTTGATCACTCTCAAAGTAAATACCCGCGAAATACAATAGGGGAACATAGAGGAATTTCGTTTTAACTAATCGACATATTTGTTTACATTTTTCAGGTTAAGCGAATCAGAATGCCTAAATTTTTAATACTTCATGTAAAATGTTAAATAATGCATTTTGATTGGGTTACTGAAAATGTAAACAAACTTACTGATTGACAAACTTACTAAACCGTGTTCTGCCGTGTTCAATAGAGGGACATGCATTATTTGCACTATTATAGATCAATTGGACAGCAACTATCAAGATAATACTTCAGCGGAAATCCTAATAAAAAAGCTCTTAGAATAATCTTACTCAGTACCGAAAATGACGCTAAACGTCTTTCAGCTAGTAAATAACCGGAAATATGGCATATATCAAGTCAATACAAATTATACTATTTGGCTCAAAACACATTAATGAATCAATTTGCTTTCTGTTTCCAAGCCATTCAAGACTTTTGTTTTGAATTGTTTACATCAACATCTAACTCACTTGTTGAGAGATATATCCACGACGAAATGCTTTTTTCTACCAGGAAATACAATAATTGCATCTTGAAGAGTGCCAAACTATATTGAGGGAAAATTAACATGTATCGCTTAAATGATCATGATTAAAATCTCTTCCAGGGCAAAGGTTTGGTGAGTTAAGAGGACATAACAATTAAACTGTACAGGCAAATAGATTCAATAAGTATTAAATGGTACACATGTAGAACAAAAACAATTCGGTGGAGAATTCTAGCTAGATCATCTTTATTGTACTTTGAGCAATTATGCATGCAAATTAACATCTGCAATTAACGTACTGAGATGTTGGTCCAATCGTCACGTTTGACTTGTCCCTCTTGTCTGTAAGGTTTAATAACCTCGTATAATCTAAGGTTTCTTAACATTTCGACTGCATCTACTTTATGACGATGCAAATTGTCTGTAAATTCAGCATCTAAAAAATCAACCGGATGTCAATTATATGCATGAGATCAATAGATTAATTGGCGAAGTTCATCGCGTATATCACAAAAGTTGAACGGTGGACATAGATTAGGAAGGTCGTTTATGTACCTTTTGGCATCTTTCTAAATTCACATAAAGCCGTTAATGTACAGCTAGTAAAATCGATGGAGCCAACACTCATCACTCTTCAGAAGTGATTTTACAACTGTGGTTGAATTATATCTGGCTGCAGTGTTGTATTTCTGTGGTTAGCGAAGCTGTTCTATGGGGTATTAAGAAATCTTGCCTCAAGATTATAAATTATCATTTCTCTCACCTGTTTGAAAACTAAGAACAACAATCAGCAGGAAAGAAAACACGGCGCCTACCGCGGAAGAAACCACCATTGCTAAACAAATATCTGCTGCAACTGATGTGAAGCAATATAAAGCATTGTTTCTTTGTTGAGGCCGGACTCCACTTGCACGTACTGTCAGTGCGGCCGATTTGGCGCATGCTCAGTGACTCGAAACTGGTCGCTGATGCCAGCCGTCACAGTTAATTTTTTTGTACGTATGACAGTAGAACTGTAGTCTACTTTCAAGGCGGCCGTCAAAGCCCAAGCCGTACGTGCGATTTCGTGGAGACCGGATTTCGTGGAGACCGGATTTCGAGGAGACCGGCTTTAACTGCACCTGCCGCCAGTAACTAAATGTTGTTCCGCCTCTTTATCGTGTGGTTGGTAAAAGTAATTCACTTACGAGCATTGAGCTATGTGGAAAGGCACTTGACGCAATCCTCGAAAATTAAGAAAATACGATAAATACGATAGATATAGGAATAATATAGAAGAATAAGGTAATCTTACGGGCTGTTTACATGCCTGGTTAGTTGAAATTCAGCAAAGCCTGAGTTGACTTTGAGGTATTGGAATGAGTATAAAATTATAAGATAATCTGTCAGTAATATAATTTTATAGCATAAATACACGTGTTTAAACCTTGATATTTATTCGAGTTTGGGGTTAGATTTAGGATTACAGTAAACCTATAAACCTAATCTAAATCTAGTCCCAACCATAATCCTAACCTATAAGGTCAAGGATTAAATTCGTGTATTTAGGATTTGCTGTACAAGGAATTTTTAGATCGAACGCCTGATTTACTTTTCAATAGCGAAAATTTCAGTTTGGTGATTGAAATGGCATTGTCCAAACCGAAACCAACTCTGACAAACCTTGAGAATTTACTCGAGTCAAATTATTTTATTTTTTTACCCCTCTCTCGTTCAACCTCACTCACTCCACCCCTCTCCCCCCCTCGTGCCCCCCCTCGTCCCCGCTCATTAGGGTGCTTTAAGTTTGACTAGGGGACCGTCATTATTTGCTGAAGGAGGGGGGAGAATTTTTTATTTTGTAGTTTTTAAAATTAAGAGCCTCCTAAGTAAATTGAAATTAAAAACCCCCCTTGATATTACTGAAAAAATTTCCTTTGTAAATACTTGCTGATGGAGAGTCAAGGACCACATGGCATTTATTATCGATAAAATCACAAAGTGAGCCAACTCAAAAATCACATGGCTCAATAATTATAACGCAATGTATTAGAGGTATTTATTGTGCATATCGTGTTCGCCAATTACCAACTTTATGTCCACTTCACGATATTAATGCTGGTGGATTACAAATATTATCAGTCTTCCCAAACCGTTCCTTTAAAATTAAAGAGTAATGCAATCCAGACTTGTATTTGTTTTTATGATTGTTTAATAACCATGTAAAATTAATAGTGGCTGGGACTTATTGTGATACTGAACTTAGGATATTGGACTTATTCTATTTGAAAACTAGTCCTGGTCCTTTTCCGTGTTCTCAGATCACCTTGTTAATGGTAATATGGACACCATATTAATTTGATGGCAGCCCACATTTTGACCCCCAACTTTCAATTACCCGGCTAATAATTCAATAGCCCCCCTTTTAGCTATTGATTTATACCTATAACCCCCCTGTTTTTTGCCCGGCCCACCCCTTCTATAAATAATGAGCGGTCCCTAGGACTCCCGCTACCGCTACAAGATTCGTAACATTGACGTGATATTCGTGATACTTCGACTGACGCCATAGACTCGTAGCCGTCGCTCATCTGACTACGACATTTTAAAAAAACTTCGTAGTCCTCACTACGTTATTAAAAAAGCAATATAAGTTGACATTTTATGTCGAGAGAACTGTTTTTCCTGACCGTCGCCTTTGATTATGTGTATTTTTCGAAATAGCAGGCGTAAAATTTCCGAAATATTTGACAGGAAAAACATGCATTTTTTATTGTGTTTGCAGAGGTTTATCATGCCAGCACGAGGTGGCGTGTGCATACAACGTTTGTTTCGCGCCATAGTGACGAATCTCGTAGCCGTAGCGGGAGCCGTAGTCAAATCTAAAGCTCTCTATTAAAATACGCATGACAGCTGCTGCATAACAAGACGTTTATAGTTATCCGTATAATTATATATGATATATTTCCTACATATCTCTCACACGGCAGACAATCTTTCAAAAATTAATATGCATGCTGTGTATTCGACAGGTAATTTCTCTCAGCTTTAATGATGCATAATACAAAAAAAATTGGTGTATTTCAGACGATTTGATGGATCAATCTGATTACTTTCACTGTCGTAGTTGATTATGATAGATACATATATGATTAATTACTTAAAAAATATATCAACATTTCGGATCTAGATGAACTAATGAGATAGATAGACACACCTGATGCTTCTCTTAATTATGTATAGGACTTTACGCATTTACTCTGCTTTGAACGTATATCCACCCATCAAAGGTGTCAAATAAAAGCATGGTTTAAAGCAGTTTACACAAAATTACAAAGCTGTTAGAATGGGAAAACGATGATGAGAACTTAACTCTAGTAACATTAAACGTCGCATGACATTTCCATCGCCCAAATGAAAAAAAATGCTTTTGATAAACAACTATAGCTGCATGAGGTTAGTTGATACAAAGCATCCCTTCTGCGCGACTGAGCCCTTAAATAATATCGTGATTCTCGTAAATTGATTTAAACTTTGGCAACCTGCCACAGAAAGCAAAACGCACGTGCGTTCAAAAACGTCCAAAAAAATTTACGAATGTAATTTGAACGTTCAGCTAAAGAACTATGTATAATAAGGATTCAGGAAAGACTGAATCAGTTGTTTACAAGGAAAGCTGTTTGCGGTGCGACTTTCGTATACATACATACATGCATGTCTACTTTAATAAAATTAATTAGATCTAGCTCAGCTTGTTTAACTCGCTTGTTCTGGCGATAGCTTTCAAAATCTCTTTTCAAGAAACTGTTGCGAATGCTTTTTTGAAAGCGATCTTATATCCTGCACGGAGTGTTTTGTCCCCAATAGCGTAGACAATTGGATTGAATGAGCAGGATACGAGGAAATATAAAGGCATTATCCAAAACCAATGATCGCTCAAGCGATCTCCTTTTTCATGTTTTTGAAGTCTATCTAAGACACGTATTGGAAAAATTGCAACGAAAAACTGTGCTAGGATTATGAGACTAACGGTTATCATTTTAATGTTTTTTTCAGTACGCAAAAGGCGATGACTTTTGAACATTCGATTCGTCATACTCTCGGTTGGGTTTGTTGTTTCCTGGTACATTATTTGCTTGAGGTTTCTTTGATGAAGGACAATTGCGTAGCACATCTTCCCATACAAAGCAGTTAGGAAGATTAAAGGGATTAATGTGATTGAAGACTCTAAAATCCAGTCATAAATAGTATAGTATATGTTATCTTTCCATTTGTCTCTGCATTCCTCATCCGTCCTATGTTTTGAGAAAAATCTCGGGAAGTAGAAACATAAAGGAACAATGTAAACAGATGTGATGATGCAAGTCATCTTCTTTCCACCAACTCTTGGTTGAAATGGTTGTGTAACAACTTTGTGCCGAAGTATCGCAATCACGACCAAAATAGCCACTTCTGTAGTAAGAAGAGAACCCAACAAGTGGGAAATAATAGTACAGGATACAGTGTCTATGTTTTTATACCAATACTGGCTTTCAATCCAAGGTGGGATTGTCAATATAACATTAGCTATCAGCAGTAAAAACATGTCACAGATAGCAAGATGAAAAACAAGACGGTAGTAGTTGGTTTGAAACCGACGCGGTCCGCGGCAAACCGTCAGCGCCACAATAATATTACCAGTTAAACCAAATACTTGAATAACTAGAATGCAGATCGAGAAGATATTTAGCCTGTCCATTTTTGCTGTAGAAGTCCGATTTTCACCCGAAAAGACAAAACCTGTTCTTTCAATATCAATAACTTTGGCGCTCTCCGAATTGTTGGATGTCGCATGTGTTTAGTTACGGATAACAGCGGCCTATGAAAGGCCTTAAAAGTCTAAGAGATGATAAGTGAGATAGAAACAACAGGAAATCATACACTTGTCATTAGTTATATTGTCCCATATCACTTGAGAGCATGCGTCAATTCATTTGACTTTATTTTAAAACTGAATAAAATAAATGTTATTTAGGGCCTGGTCATTCAGGACGCACAGAAACTGCATGTGCATGATCGTACATAATTATTTGAATTACGTTTGTGCTTTAGAATTGAGTTACAGTTCTCCTGTTAGGATCGTAGTGTATTCTAGCCTATATATACTTTGTTTGTATGAATTGGGAAATGCTAAGCTGAAAATATTTATTTAATTATGACAGATTTAATCTAAACACATTTATTTAAAATTCAGCCGCTTTAATGACGAGTTTCTCGACGATATTGGCTGACCACCGTAATTAGTTATAATATTTTCCGTATTCACTATATATTTACAATAATCAATTATTGAAAAAGATAACAAACACGCTTTAAAATATAATATTCGAAAGTTTTTATTCATTCATTTCGACTCAAATCTTGACAAAGTACCGGTCTGGGATGAGTATTAATTTAAACCCAAGGGGCGGTTGTATAAGAAAGTTTTTAACGTTTAACCATAGTTATTATAATAAACAAGTGCTGGATATATGGTAATGTGCAATCTGATTGGATCCCTACCAGACACATATGAACTATTATTAGCTATATACACAAACGCTGCATGGATATGCATGAGCTAATGTGCAATCTGATTGTCTCTTTAGAATAGATAGATATTAGCTCACATCTCTCTAGTAGAGAAACGTAAACAAGATGGCTGAAAGATTTGGGAAGTTAAGGTAATGAACTGATTTAAAGTATACCCGAAAGGAGACCAAAAGGGTGACTAACTTTGGAATGAAAGTATTCAAGGGTAATTTAAAAAACTACAGGTTAAAAGATACATAAACGCTTTTGTTTTCTCCGTTTCTGTATTAAAACATTCGAAAAAATCCCCACATT